CATCCATCCATCCATCCATCCATCCATCCATCCATCCAGACAGACAGACAGAAACTGAATGTCTTCAGAAGACACTTTTTTTTATATAAAGTTATTTTGCCTTAAAAACAAAATCATGTTTTATTTTATTTGAAAAACAAATTTATAAAAATACATCACTTAAAATATAATTTGCATCCTATATAGTCTGCTAAAAATAAAATCAGCGTATGTCCTTTTTTTAAACTAATATGTCGACAGTAGCCTTAAAAACATCTGAAGTCTTAAAATAAAACATCCACAGTTGTCAAAATCTGTTTCTATCATTTTGTCAAACTGACAAAAATAAATCTTACAAAATCTTACCAAAATTACAAGAAATAAACATTTGAAATATTTAACTGTGTAATGATGAATCTATATATTAGTTTCACCTTATGAAGTGTTTGACAAAAAATACTGAACATTTTCAATATTCTAATTTTTCAGATGCACCCGAACAGGCTTATAAAACTCTGAAAACTCTTTATACGATGGTTTTTAATTCAAGTTTAGTTGAGTCCCCGTAGATCTTCTTTAAGCCTATTTTATCGTATCTGTTGGTTTTTAATCTGTGATTTTTCAACATTTATTTAATTGTGGGTTTTTCTGCTTTTATCCATCTTGAAAGAACATTTTAAACACGCTCTAGAAATGAAACCGACATCGACTAAATGCATGCAAATAAAAACATTCTACACATACGCAGATTCAGTCAAACGGTGAAGTTTGATTTGTCAGTTTTAAAGGCAAAACATTTTCCAAAACAAGTCAAACTGCATTAAGTCCTGGTAAGAACCCTGAGCAATATCATTTAGCATTTTTATCAGCTCATAATGTGAGACTAAAGCAGATGATAGTTATATCTGCTTCAAGACATAATTAATACTTTCTGCCTGACAATAGTAAGAGAAGTCATTTTATTATTCCAACAATACACATTACTGGTGTTTGGGAAACAAAAAATACTTGTCTCCCATTTGTCCAGAGGAATTCTTCACCGACTTGCGCCACCCGCTGTTCATTCAGAATATTCATTTACCTGCTTCACTGTGTGCCACCACCACCCCCAGCTCATTCTCGGACGTCGTCAACAAGTAGTTCGACTGAATGTCCCCGAGAGAAATCTGACAAAACAGGTCAAGGTGTTACACACATTTACAGCACACATCCCCACCATGTGGAATAAAAACGAACTACAAACGAACCTACAATTATTACATTTTGTTTTCACTCCATCTGTTCTCTTTGGAGTCCGTCCTGAAAAAACATGGCCTTTCATTTCATCGTTACGCTGACGACTGTCAGATTTATCTGCCCTTAAAGCCCAACAGTTCTTGCTCCATCCATCCTCTGTTAAAATGTCTTGATGACATCAAGGCACGGACGGCTTCAATTTTTTGAAGTTTCAACGATCAGAAAACTGAAGTCGTGTTTAGCCCTAGCTCTACTGCCATCTCTGATCCTGTTAGCCCTGACTCTCTTCAGCATTATCTTAAGCAGTCTGTTACGACTCTTGGGATGGTTTCAGACTCCGACTTTAAGTTAAATAAATATGAACTCTGTTCTACAGAAAAGTTGTATGGCAGATAGCCAAGTTCATGTTGATCAGATCTGACCTTGAAAAAAATAGTCCATGCTTTTATTACAACCCAGCTGTACTGCTGTAACACGCTTTATGTTGGGGTCAGTCCCTTTCACATCTCCAGCTCATTCAAAATGCTGCAGCTCGACTATTAACAGGAACTCATAGATATAAGCACATTTCACCAGTTGTGTCCTCCCTTCACTGGATCTGTGTGTGAGTCAAAAATGATTGTAAAATTCTGCTAACCTTTAAGTGCATTAAAGGCCTTGCACCCTCATATCTGACCTACTTCAACATTGTGCTCCTTCTCGGGCGCTGAGCAGGTGCTTTTGGTTGAAGCTCAGAGAAGATTGGGCTTTTTCAGTCATGGCCCTAAACTCTGGAACAATCTGCCCCCCAACATTAGACAGGCCACTTCACTTCCCGTTTTTAAATCTCTCCTAAAAACACACCTGTATTCACTGACGTTTAACACTTTTTTGATTTACTATTTTATTGTTTCTCATTGTTTTTGTGTTTGTTTGTTTTATTTTTGATACTTTTAATTACAGCTTGTCATTTTTTTTTTCTGCCTTGATCTTGTTAAGCACTTTGGTAAAGCCTGTTGTTTTAAATGTGCTTTATAAATAAATTTGACTTGACATTCAGAAATATCAGTAGTGAACAAACTAAAGCACCGGCCTGTGATGTAGCTTGTGAAATGTGCTGTGTCATAGGTTGTAATTCCCACACCCTTTTATTAAACATTCCTAAAGATGAAGAAAATATCTAAATAATTCATTTAAGGCAGCTGTCTCTCTGTCACATTCAGCTGAAGGAATCACAAACAGTTGAGGAATGAGCTCAATGTCTAAAAGCTCATTAAAGGATACCACTTTTGCCAAGACTATGTCACCAGGTCTGAAGCTTTTGTATATCTCCACCTGAAACAAACATGAATAGCAGGAAACACTCAGCATGTTCTGGAATCAACCAGAGAACAGAATGATCCCAATGAAAGCATGAATTCTCGCTCACCTTATCCTTCTCTGTTGCTCGCACGTCCTCTTTTCTACAGAGAAAGTGAGCTGTGAGTTTATGAAAAGATAACAAACCATGCTGCTTTACTCTGGGACCGGGTTTCTGGGCTTACCTGATCGTCCCTCTGAAGCGGTCTTTCAGTGGCGTGGAGCCGACATAAAGGATTTGGACTTTGGCAAACCTGGGGTTGATGCTGGTCACCTTTTGAAAGACATCAAATTGATGAAATCTGAATGTAGGCAGGATACAGTCACACTTCATATGAACATCTGAGACCATCTTTGTTTTATTTCTTATGACTTTTATTGTGCATTTATCAGATACGATCACTTTAAATTAGAGAATCCTAAAAAAATTAAACAGGGTAACATTTAAGCAGATGATAAAAAGTAATCTAAAGAGGTTAATGTAAAGATCCCCATGTTTTCTGAATGTGGTCCAAAAGGTGAACTGCTTTGTTTTTCACGGACTAGCTCTGTTGTGGTTTTTCAAACTTGGACATGACACACAGTTGGCTGATTGGTGGGTGAGCCACATGCTAGGCATGGAATTTTTTTATTTAAATAAATTGTTTCAAATTATTTAGCACCTGTGTGCAGCCCACAGCTGTGGGAGAAGGTTCTTCCTGCAGCTGCTCAGCTGATCTCCGTGCAAAGCGGAGAAGTGGGCGTGGCCAAGAGTGCAGCGGGTCGCTGAGAGCTGAAATCATGACATTCTGTACTCTTTTAGAGCAAAATTACACTGGTGAAGATTTAAATAAACTACCACTTACGACTTGTACTACTATCCCTACCTGGTAGTTTTTCACTTATCACGGGGCTTCAGGGTACGGATCCCAAACGATAAACGAGGGACTGCTGTACAACATTGTAGTAATGTTGATAGATTCCTTATATACATTTCTTGCTACATATTGTTGACTTAATGGTATATTAATGGTATATACCTAACATAAAAAAATAATAAATATTCTGCAGTTGTGAGACTGGTTGGACGTACGGCCAAAAACCTCTGAAACGTCTTTGGAGACGGCTTATGGTAGAGAAATGAACATTCAGTTCACGGGCAACAGCTCTGGTGGACATTCTTGCAGTCAGCATGACAATCACACGCTCCCTCAGAACTTGAGTCGACTTTTATTGTGGTCAGCCTAAGGCACACCTGTGCAATAATCATGCCGTCTAATCAGCATCTTGATATGTCACACCTGTGAGGTGAGTGGATTATCTTAGCAAAGGACAAGTGCTCACTAACAGATTTACACAAATGTGTGAACAATATTTGAGAGAAAAAGTCTCAGATCTTTGAGTTCAGCTCATAAAAAAATGGGAGCAAAAACCAAAAAGTGTTGTTTATATTTCTATTCAGTGTATTTTACTCTGAATTGGGGGGGGGGGGGGGGGGTTGTCAACTGAAAAGAGAACATGCGACGGGAAAATTTACCTGTCTAAATAAAGGTTGAATGAAAAAAAATAAACTTCCGAATAATATTTGATTATTTTAATTTGACTAAAGCAGCTACAATCCCACATACCTTACAGGTGACTATGGCTCCAACATCTGGGAGTAGTTGTGCTTCTGTTTCCCTCACCACGGAGATCACTGGAAGCTAGAAAAATACACAAAGGCAATATTAGGGTAAAAACGCACACAGAACTCGTTTTCTTTCTTCCTTTCCACAGAGCGATGATATGCTATGCAGAGCTAAGCAAAACAAAACGCCACCCAGTGCCGTCACCAAACTCGCAGTGCTTTTGTTCCTCCTCACATCTACAGCAACAGTCTCTGACTCATGGTGTCAGTTCACAGCCAATAACAAATACTTTAACATAAATGCCAAACCAGAACAATAAAATAACATGAAAAACCCATTTTTCACACTCAGAAACATTGTGAACAGTTTGAAACACTGTACACTTAACTCCTATCCAGCATGTTTACAACGCGCACACTGTCTCTGGGATGTGACTCTCTCACACACGATTTCACATCTCTACTTTAATACAAACACACTTATGTTAGGTTATAAAAGGATTTAACCACAAAGAGGATTGTTGATTCATTGTATATTATAGTAAATGACCTGAAGGAGACGTCCGACGCACGTTAGATGCATCACTCTGCTTCAGCACAGCAGAGTTCTTCTCTGCCTCTTTTGTTCTGGACCGCATTAATTTCTGAAAGTTCACCTCTGAACAGGACATGGACGCTTTACTTGTGATTTTGACTTCTGTTTGGAGTTGTGTTCACTTACAATGTTGTCACATTACAGTCTCACAGTGTCAGCGACAGCAGTGTATAATAAAAGTTAGCGCTTTAGCATTAGCTTTCGCTATGTTTTTTTTCCTATTTAGTATTAACGAAGCTAACTTTTTGGTTAGCTATGCCCATCACTGTTGCAGCTGTTAAGTCCAATCATGTGCAATGTCATCTAAAGGTTAAATGATTATTTGCCCCTTTTCTTAGGAATTTTATTCATTTTGACAAAGTTTCTGCTATCTTTAAAATACTGTAGTCCCTCATTTATCACGGGGGATCCATACCCTGAAGCCCCGTGATAAGTGAAAAAAAAAACGCGAAGTAGGAATAATAGTACAAATAAAATAGTAAGTAGTAGTTTATTTTAATATTTAGATATACAGTATATAGTATATCAAGATGTTTTAAACCCTTCCCACACTCTTGCAATATTCTAAACAATGTTTTTAAACTCTAAACCAGTGGTCCCCAACATTTATTGCACCACAAACCGGTTTGATTGGGGGGGGGGGGGGGTCTGGGGGTCCTCCCCAACAGAATTTTGAATAAAGTAGATGCCATTTCCTGCATTCCGGTGTATTTTACAAACATTTAAAACAGTTTTCGCTTCAAATACTCTGACTGCACGACAAACAGCTTCATGAGCTGAGCCCGTCGTCTGTTTTATCAGTTCGGTGAAAGTTCAGATAACTCCTGCAGTGATCCACACATCAGATTGTTCACAAAAGCACAGGAACTTATGCCTAGTGCAAAACGTTTAATTATATTTTTGTGTTTTATAATAAAATTACCCATGACTTTGAAATTTTAGGGGGAGAGATTTTTTTTTGAGCAGAAGCAAAAATGTGAAGCGACAGCTCTGATGTGATATTAGGAAGCTTGTTAAAATTATAGTTTTATTTAGTTATAGTTTTATAGTCAATCTTTGTCAGGCGGATTGAAAAATATGCAGTGTAATTCTTCAAAATGCACAGAGACGGTGTTGACCTGCGTCAAGAATGAGTCATATACTGATGTGGTAGAAAGAATCCGGTGATTTTTCAAAATAAAACACTTTCCCCCCTTCTGTGCGACCCATTGACCCACGGACCGATACCGGTCTGCGGCCCGGGAGTTGAGGACCACTGCTCTAAACCCTCTAAAAGAGCACAGAATGTAATGATCTCAGCTCTCTGTCTCAGTTGCTCTCTGCCACCTGCCAGTGCTCTCGGCCACGCCCACTTCTCAGCTGCAGAGCGGAGGTCTGACACGCTGCAGGAGGAAGCTTCTCCTGCACCTGTAGGCAGCCCACAGCTGCAGGACAGGCTGCACACAGGTGCAGCAGGGGCTAAACAATTTAAAACATTTTAAATACAAATTCTATGCCGATCGTGCGGCTCATCCAATCAGCCAATTGTGTGTCATGTCCAATCTTACTTTGAAAAACCGCGATAGAGTCCATGAAAAATGAACCGCAAAGTAGCGAGAGACTACTCTACCTGAAGAATTGAACACCTAGAGTCCCTTGAAGGAATTCATACTACCTGTTGCCTTTCGTGCAATGGTGGTAAACTAAGATCATCTTCTGAACAGAAGAGAGAGTTTGGTCAAGCCTTGTAAAAGATGTCCAGCTTGATCTCCTGTGATAATGCAAGATCTTGCATGATCCGTTAGTGCTTGTAGTTTTATTGGGGATGACTCTCAGCTGCTCAGATTTTAACCCAATAGGGGCATATTTGACCTGGTCACCGAGATGGACTTGTGACCTGTCCACGGTGTACCCTGCCTCCCGCATAGTAACTACTGGAGATAGACACCAGCTCCCCACAACCCGGAAAGGAGAAGCTGGAAAAGATAAATGGTTGGATGAAAAAAGGATTGACCAAGTCAGCCATTTTTGTGTTAGCTAACGTCAATTGGCTGTGGAGGCCACCGTGAATTGGGTTGTCTCCAGAAGTTAAATCAGTAGATGTACATCCAAAGATTACCTAGTAGGGTCGATTTTCATTCATTCAACCTTTATTTATAAAGGTTACTGTTGTCTCGTTGCGTCACGAGGACTCATTTTCAAGAGAGACCTGTTTATGATGCCAACAGTTAATGCCAACGTTTCTGCAACACCATCGAACAGTGGGGAGCCCTTGGTGAGGATTGTGAATTTGTCTCAGCTGCCATTACAGCAAACTGCAGCTAAATATCTATAAAACTGAAGTGGTGATACGTTATAACCTTTTAATTTAAGATCAGTTGGCTGTGACGGACATCTCGAATAGGCTGACTCTAAAAGTTGTAACCTAGTTTGTTTCATGAACATTTCTCCACTGGTTCATGAGATATTTTGCTAACAGTCAGTGTTGACTCTCACATTTAGAGGCTAAGTTTTTAAAACAGATCTTGTGTGATCAATTAGCGCCGAATGAATAAGTTGGGGGTCAGTCTCAGCTACTACCACACTAAATTTAAGTCAATACTGTATTTGTAAAAACTGACCGACTTACAGCCAATTATGTTTTCTAAGGTCAGATGGCATCTTGATCTGGATCGACACCAAAAGTTAGTTAGCTGTGTATGTCATTTATGTGTACTTTCTGAGAGTTACATTAAAATATTCCTATGTAGAAGATGTTAGTGAGGAGAAGAGATGTGAGATGCTTTTTTTCTCACCTTACACTTATATTTGCTCTTGTTCAAATTTGGGGGCACCAGGTTCATGCTTCAGCTATTTCACGGATAAGAGCAAAAAAACATTCCTGCCATTTGTCTTTGTCAACGGGCAAGAAAAGGCGTAAGAATATACGTCCAAAGCAGACCCCCTTTTTTGTGGGGGGGGGGGGGGGGGGGGGCATAATCAGTGATGCGAGTATGTGAATTTATCATTAAAACAAAATGTTGTCTATGACCGTGTTTGTCATGGTTTCACAAGAAGAAAAAAATGGAATCAAGTGATTTAACTCTGAAAAACAGAAAAAGTTTGAACTTTCAGACAAAAGTTTTTTTGTTTGTTTTCTTTTGGTGTGTGTGTGTGTGTGGAGGGGGGGGGGGGTCCTCCTCCAGAAAGTTTTGAATAAAGTACCGGTACATGTGATTTCCTACATTTTTGTGTATTTTAACAGGTTGTTAAACAGCTATGTGCTTGTTAAAGAAAAAAAATTATATATATATATATATATATATTTACTTTTTTGGGTGGACCCCTAAGCACCGGCTCACGGAACCTCCGGGGGCCCGGGGACCCCAGTTTGAGAACCACTGATCTATAGCGATACATTTCTTAAGTGCTTTAAACAGCACTTCAATAAAAGGGACCTTTAACTAGGAGCTAAAAGGTTTCCCTCAGACAAGGATTTTCCTGTTTTCCACTACTGATGTGTCAAAATGTGGGCCCATTGTTAATGCAGGTCTCTGGGAGTTTGCTACACCTGCAGTCAAACTATGGCAGTGTCAAGTCAAGTCAATTTTATTGCCATTCGTATCACATGTGGTACATGAGGTGGAATTAAATTACATGCAAGGGTCCCAGTTACACCCAACAATAGCAAAAATATAAATGTATAAAGAAAGAGTAAATAAGGATCTAAGATAAGATATACACTAAGATATACAGCAAACGGCATGCCAAAAGATTTAAGATATACACAAAGATATACGCTGAATAATAATGTAAAAATATAGGATGTAACAACAGCCCGAACATCTTCTGTTACTGGAACTGTGACAAAGATGTGCAAGTGTCACAGTTTTACGGTTGAACTTTCAAAGAATTTTAAATATACCCACGCTCCAGCTAAAGTGGACAATGACCATAAGAGAACAAAACAGAAATGCAAAAACAAGTCGATGAAAACACTCCAGTATTTACCAGAATTTACCACAGCAAAAATAACTACCAGTATTTTAGGAACAACTTTTGTCTCAGTTTAGTGCCCAGGGAAATCATCTGCAGGTAAAGGAGACTGCATAATGCCGGCCTCTAAAGACAGTGACCAGAAAAGTATTTGGAACATAAAGTGAATATTAGTGACACATTCTATTGCAGTTTTAAAATCGTTTGCCTCAGACAGGATCCAGAGCATCGATCAGCTACAGTGAACACTCCTGACAGCAGGTCACAGAGGTGGAAGTGTGACGGACACACCAAAAATGGCTGATTTCTAGGTTCCAAACGTTTAGCAGAAAATAAATATTCCAGCTAGTATGAATCTAAAGAACAGTGTCAGAAAAAAACAACGAAAACAAATAGAAAAATAGGTTGCAAAGGAAGAAAAAACAAGCGGTTGGGGTGTCTTAAACTAAACAAAACCAATCTGGAAGAGCTTCCATTTGTTTTGGATTATTTAAGGATTAGCTCAGCATATCTCCAGATGTTTGTGTGACGCTCCTATCTTTCATTTTGGTTGCACAGGCTCAATCAAACTCAAAACGTTGCACAACACTCTTACGTAGGCATTCATCCGAGGCCCACACCAACCTCTCCCCTACACATCTGCAACGATCCTCACCTTCTCGCCCTCATTTTTCTTGAGCACGTAGCCCGCGAGCGCCGAGTATATGTAGCCGTGTCGCCGATATACTCCAGCACCTGGAAAGCAGTCTTCTTCACTGCAGAGCTTGTCACCTGAGGGCAAACAGGAGGAGACGAGGGTCAGGTGGAGTTAAGAGCCACAGAATAAACGTGTGTAAAATTCTAAGCATTCTGTATATGCAAACATCTGGATTGGAATGTTACACAACTGTAAGTCAACATCACAATGTTTGTAGCAGATAAAGCTCGATTGCAGAGTTTAAAATTGTCCAGAAATTATTCTTTTATTGATTTATAAACACTGTGAGAAAATGCTAATCCCGCTTAATCCTGTAATCAAACGGCAGTTTTGTTTTCAAGCAGCATAAACATTATGAGAGCACACATCGACATGTAACACGGGTGCTTCTAGGGTGTGTCAGAAAGAATGTGCAGCCCTGCCCGCGGCGATGGGAAGGAACCTGCAGCGGGAAACAAAATGGACTAATCTACGCGATAAAATAAATCTGTTGACACGTTTGATATATTTTAATCCGCTACAACAACTGCTCGCTATTTAAAGACAATAACAACAAAAACATTGAGGAGCAGGAAGCTAACACCACTGCCTCCACGCGCGTGGCAGTTGGAGCCTCCGTTTTTTTTTCTTTCTTCTTTTTTTAAGACTGTCGGGCTTTAGCGATATTTTCGCAAAACATGGCGACGTCTCCACAACCGACAATGAGCGCTAAGCTACGGCGAGGTTTGGCGAGAGTGCGATAAAGTTTTAGGGAGTTGAAAATGACAGCACTCACCTGGAACACACAACTTCATGGGCGACATGTTTTCGAGGAGAGCAGCTCCTTCTTCCCATTGGTTGTGACGTAAGCGCGAGTCGATTCTGATTGGTCGGTTTGAGGGAAGAGCGGAAGAAGAAGGAGGACGGGTTCTTCCACCATTACTGCTTTAAGGCGCATGTCCATGGGCGAGAAGTGATTTTGATACCACCAGCAGCATTACTATTATAGTTTAGTGAAAAGTGGTGTTTGAATAGCTAAAAAGGTACGCATTATTTTATTGTACTCATTTATGTATACATTTATTTAACTCTTTTTTAACCTTATTTAGTTTACTTTGTAGATTGTATGACTTTTACACCAATAAAAATACTAATATATATTTTTTAAATAACTGATTTTAAAACAGAATTTTAATTAATTTTTATATTTTATTTTAAATATTATTATTATTTAAATACAGTGAAACTACCATGCAATAACAAAATTTAATTAAATTAAAAAATATTAATAAATGTATAAATAAAGATTGAATGAATAATAATAATAATTTTAAAAAAAATTGAACCAGGGGTGTTGCTAGATGTTAAGCCAGTCTGGGGTCAACACATGGTAACAAGTTGCTTCGTTTAACAGCCAGATTCCCGTTGCAAGAACATGTTAAAATAAGTTAAAATAACGTGCTCAAGTAAAAGTGTTGAAAATGGTTTCAAATAAAAATAAAATGACCTATGTAAAAATCTACTCGGGTAAAAGTAAAAAGTAAGTCTTTAAAAATGTACTTAGAGTAAAAGATACCTTACATAGGTCAAACCTTGTGAAAGATGAGAGACACCATGAGATAGGAGAAATTTGTAAAAGAAGATGGATGAATGGTAGAACCACTATTAAATAGTCTGCTCAACTATTTTAACAACATTTGATCATTTGAAATTTAGATGATCAAATGTTGGTTTAATTTTCTAACATAAGCAAATACTAAATTAATTTGGGGATATATATATCCTATGTGAGGGGGGTGTGGCAAGATGGCGCCTGTGTACTGACTGTGGCTTCGCCGGCTTTACCTCTCGGCGCATTTTTTATTATGCGTTTTTATTATTTTTAAATTATTTAGCTTTTTTCTGTCAGGATAATAGCTTTGTCACTCTTGCAGCCCGTGTTTATGATCGGGATGCATTATTGGCGATCAACAAGTCGTGGATGAACTGTTGTGACGGCTGGAGCAGTTTCAGAGGGAGTTGTCCACCTCCGTTTGTTTGCTGCTCACCTGAGTGTCTCCTGCAAAGTTCCAGACGTAAAAAGCGGAAAAGAGGATCTAGAGCGGGTGTCCTGGTTCGTCTGAGGCTGTATCGTAGACGTTTTATTGGGAAGCGGGGAGCCCCTCGCTGTCTACGAACTCTTTCATCTAATTGGGAGTTTGACACGTCGCCTGAAACCTGGCCAGCATGGACCTCTACCTGCCTGTCTTCTGTATATTATGCAACCTGCTTGGATGAAGTTCATCATGCTCACCATCAGGTACCTCCTCGTTGTAATCGTTCTTCTGATGCGATCAACCTAATCTGTGTGCCACTATTAGCGGATGTGGGAGCTGCTGAAATGTCATCGTTGCGCATGGCCCTCTTCAACGCGCGCTCTATCAGCAACAAGTCTTTTGTCTTGAATGAATTGATTACGAAGGAGTCCCTTGATTTCTTGTTTTTAACTGAAACTTGGCAACGAAGCTTGGATCTCATTCATCTGCGGGAACTCTGTCCAGATAACTGTACTGTTCTTGCAACACCCCGTGAAGCGCGTAGAGGTGGTGGATTAGCAGCCGTGTTCAAGGACTGTTTTTCCTGCAGACTTGTTAATCCAGCCCCATTCTCTACATTTGAACAACAAATAATTAAAGTTGGCTCTTTGAAAATATTTTACTGTATTTTAGTTTATAGACCTCCAGGTTCAGCTAGTGTATTTTTATCTGAATTCACTGATTTTCTGTCCTCCATTATTAAGTTGGAGAAAGTTATAATTTTGGGTGATTTTAATTTTCACATTGATGATGTTACCTGTAAGGCAGCAACAGACTTTATATCCATCACAGACTCTTTTCACTTTACTCAGCATGTGAGTGCCCCCACTCATTATAAAGGTCATACATTGGACCTTGTTTTCTCTTTAGGCCTGGATGTGGAAGATGTTCGTGTGGAGGATATATTTTTAAGTGATCACAAATGTATTTATTTTAATGTGTCCTTCAGTCCTGATCCAGCTCCTTCTTGCCTTTTGAGACAGAGGCGGATTATCTCTGAACACACTTCTGATGCTTTTATTGCTCTATTTGATTCCGCCTCTTTGGATTATGACATCATGAACGTAGATTCAATTGTTTCCTGTTTTAACACTCACTGTATGGACATATTGAACATTATAGCACCATTGAAACAAAGCATTGTCCAACGTACTAGCTGTCCGTGGATCAACAATGAAATCCTTAGTTTGAGGAGAACATGTCGTAAAACTGAACGTCTGTGGAAACGTACTGGGTTGGTGGTTCATAGACTACATCTTAAAGATCTGATCAGCTCTCTAAATGAGATGCTCAAGACTGCCAGAGCTCGTTATTTTACTAATCTCATCAATTCCAAAGGACGAAATCCAAAAATTTTATTTGATACAATCAAGAACATTGTCTCTCCAGCATTCTTGTCTCAAAGTGCTTTTACGTATGCAGATTGCAATCGGTTTTTAAATTATTTTATTGATAAAGTTTCCAGCATTAGGGCCAGTATTTGTCCTTCATCTTCCCTTTTACTGGCTCCTTTGTCACTGACCCCTGATAAGTGGTCCTTTTTTACCCCAGTTTCAATTAAGGACATCTCAGATTTAATGGGTCATATGACACTCTCAACGAGTCCCCTTGATGTCCTTCCTACGTCGCTTTTTAAAGATATTTTTATCTGTATTGGCCCCAGTGTTGTACAAGTGATAAATTCCTCTCTTTGTTCTGGCACTGTCCCACACTATTTTAAAACTGCTATTGTCTGTCCTTTGCTAAAAAAGCCAAATTTGGATTCTTCGATGCCTGAAAACTACAGACCTATCTCCAAACTTCCCTTTCTATCAAAGATCCTTTAGAAGGTTGTAGCACAACAATTAAACTGCTTCTTGGAGGTAAATGACATCATGGATTCTTTTCAATCTGGTTTTCGCAAATTGCACTCCACGGAAACAGCACTTTTAAAAGTTTCTAGTGACATATTGATGGCAGCTGATTCTGGAAACTACACTGTGTTGGTTTTATTGGACTTGACTTCAGCTTTTGACACAGTGGATCACACTGTTCTTATCAATAGACTAAGAGATCTATTTGGTATTTCTGGCACCGTTTTAAATTGGTTTATTTCTTATTTATCTGAAAGGTCTTTTACTGTTTTTATGAATAATGTTCACTCTGATGTTGCACAGCTGTCTTGTGGGGTACCCCAGGGTTCTGTTCTGGGTCCAGTCCTCTTTTCATTGTATTTACGCCCTTTAGGTTTTATTTTGAAACGTTACATTAATGTGTCCTACCATCTGTATGCTGATGATATTCAGCTATACTGTTCTTTTCGAGCCTCCGAATTCCATAAATTGACAGAACTCAGAAACTGTCTGTTAGAGATCAAAACATGGCTGAATGACAACTACCTGCAGTTAAATGCAAATAAAACTGAGACCCTTATTATTGCCCCTGATGATAAAATCCCAGTAATCAGGCAGTATCTTACATTCTTAAATCCTTTGGTAAATAATAATCTCAGAAATTTAGGTGTTGTCTTTGATAGTTCTTTATCTTTGGACAGTCATTGCAAATTGCTAGTTCGAAATTGTTTTTTCCACTTAAGAAACATTTCTAAACTACGTGGAATTGTATCACAGAAGGAACTTGAGATGATTGTTCATGCTTTCATTTCATCTCGGTTAGATTACTGTAATAGCATTTTAATGGGTCTGAACAAATCTTCCCTAGCTCGCCTTCAATCTGTGCAGAATGCTGCAGCGAGGCTGCTAACTGGAACCCACAGAAGAGCTCACATAACTCCTGTTCTGGCCTCCCTGCATTGGCTCCCTGTGCATTTCAGGAGTCATTTTAAAATTCTGGTTCTAACTTTTAGGGCACTTCATGGTCAGGCTCCCAAATATTTACTGGACCTTTTGAAGCCTCTATGTCCCATCAGGACTTTGAGATCTTCAAATCAAATGTTGCTGATAGTTCCGAGAACTTATTTTAAAACACGTGGAGACAGAGCATTCCAAGTGGTGGCCCCCAGGCTTTGGAACGCTCTCCCTCTGTCACTGCGCTGCTCAGATTCCATTGACTCTTTCAAAAATGATCTTAAGACTTATCTATTCAGACTGGCTTTTATTTAAATTTTATTTACTTTTACTTTGTGAAGCACTTTGTGATGTCATTGTCTGTGAAAGGTGCTATATAAATAAATATTACTTACTTACTTAAATATTACTTATGTTTTTTTATGTCTCACAAAGTTGCAGTTAAGTTACAGCAAAAACAAAATGTTTGTATTTTAATAAAACATTGCAACATCAGGTAAAAGTATAAATTGGAATAACGGTAATTACTTTCAAAAGTAAAAGTGCACACTATTCATAGTTAATTACATATTTACATAAAAGTAAATGTAAATTACCTTATAGAAACACATATAAACACCCTAAAGTTACAACGTAAATACTCCCATGTGTGTACCTGTATAAGTACCTGTAAATACCTCATAAGTACGCCCATAAGTACCTTATAAATACCCTATATGTACCACATTCTATAATTAGCATGTAAGAACCATGTATATACCCAAAAGGATCCTGTAAGTAGACTGTGATTATCTCGTGAATGCACGTACCCCTGTATCTTGTATGTCATTACCCAGCAATTTTTTTGTAATGTAATGTAATTGTAGCTATTTTAGAATTTGGTCTGAACATGTGAACTGTATAAAGTTTAAAAATGTCAGTAATAAAATAAAAGCCACAAATGCAGGCAAAGCATTTTCAAGCAGTTAGTGTGAGCTATCAGTAATGACCTCTAAAGCGAAGGACAAGGCAGTTGGAAAAAAACAAGTTTTTTTTTCTGAACGCACTATTTTAAACCACTGAACCACCATTTTAACATTCTAAACCCATCAGGGGGGCCTTTCTGAGTGGAGTTTACATGTTCTCTCCATGCATGCGTGGGTTTTCTCCGGGTACTCCGGTTTCTCCCACAGAACAAAAACATGCCTGTTAGACTGATTGGTAACTCTAAATTGTCTCTAGTGTGAGTGAGAAAGTGAATGGTTGTTTGTCTTGATTGTCTCTATGTGTCCCTGTGGTGGACTGGAGACATGTCCAGGATGTCCCCCGCCCCTCGCACAGTGATTGCTGGACATGGGCACCAGCGACCCCCGTGGCCCAAAATGGAAGAAGTGGGTAAAAGATAATGGATGGATAAACCCATCAGGACCCTCAGACAGAAGATGGCCCATCCCAAGGACAGAACCACCTGATGCAGCACTAGGTCCGATTCCCAGTCAGACCAAAACATCTTCATGAGCACCGCAGACAAAGAACCCAACGAGCCTCCATTGTGAAGAGTGAGTAGTTCCAGTCTAATCTGCATGACTGAGTACATAACCAGGTCTCTCATGCAGTTTTATAAAGCTTCAAACTCCACACAGACATTTTTGACTTGATGGAGCCACCCGGAAAGGAAGCGAAACATCTTCAGCTTCCCAATAGAAGTCCAGGTGGTTTTTGTTTGTTTTTCTTACTTTTTTTGGGATTCTCTCATTGGCTCCCTGTCAAATTCAGAATAGAATTCAAAATCTTACTTCTAACCTACAAAGCCCTCAACAACCTAGCTCCATCTTATATTACAGATCTTAATGTTCCATATTTTCCTAACAGAGCACTCCGCTCTCAGATTGCAGGCTTACTTGCAGTTCTTAAAAGTTTCCAAAAGCAGAACGGAAGATCTTTCAGTTATCAGGCTCCTCTCTTATGGAACCAACTTCCAGTTTCTGTACGCGAGGCTGACACATCGTCCAGTTTTAAGACTTTACTTTTGATAAGGTTGGATTGTGCTACCATATGCTTAGACTACTAGATGACAAATTGACTTCATTTCCTTAAATGATTTGTTAAAAATGAATATTTTCATTTGATACTTTCTATCTCAACATGTGATCCTCGACCTGCCATTGTGTATCTGTTCCTACCAAACCCAGCCAGTTGAAGCAGATGGCCGCTTGTCCTGAGCCTGGTTCTGTTAAAGGTTTTGTCCTCATGAGGGAGTTTTTCCTTTCCACCGTCTCCTTCATGCTTGCTCAAGATGAGAGTTCTGCTCCTCAGATAAATAATGTTAAATTATTTTTATATACGAATGTTTCTGTTCAGTGTCCTGAGATGACTTCTGTTGTGACTTGGCGCTGTATAAATAAACTGAAATGAATTGAACTGGATTAGGGGAAAAACAGGAGTCGCATAAAAATCTTTATCTCTCAACATTTATTATTTTTCCTCACAACACCACAGCAAAGTTCAGCAGTACAGAACACGAAATAATGACCCTTTTCAAACAACAGCCAGTGTTAACGTATGAGGTGAACCTGTTCCCACTAAGCTTCAACTACAGGATTGTTGGTGGGCGATTACTTTTCAAGACAGATCTGCATCGGCAGTTCATGCTTCTGGTCCCTAATTTCCATATGGTTGAGCCTTAAACCACATTCTAGTCTAATCATGAAATGCATGTTTCTGTATATTACAGTACTTAACCGTGACCAATGAAGTCAAACAACAGATCTGCAAACGTGTCATTTCTATAAAGTGCACATTGTGTGTCTATGGTTATGAAAGTTTGTGATGAAACAAACATTAAATGACCTTTTTTTTTAAACCTAGAAAAAAAAAAGCAACACAATTGATCTGTACTCTATTGTCCAGGTAGGACAAGTCTACTTCTTGGCTTTGCCCTGAGCAGCCACAGCCTCCATGGCCTTTTTAACCGTCTCCTCGTCCCCCAGGAACTGCATGGGTCCCACGGGCTTCAGGTTCTTGTCAAGCTCGTACACAATGGGAATGCCAGTGGGCAAGTTCAGCTCCATGATGGCCTCCTCTGACATACCTAGGACACAGTGACAGACAAAAAGACCGATTTATTTGCCTGCAGTTGACACGGACAGTTGATCACTGTTGAAATAATAACTGGTGTTTGTTGGGAGGCAGCATTACGTGACTGTCAGAGAAAGGTCTAGTCTTAACGAAACCATCCCCAGTTTATCTGATTTTAGTGGGAGTTTTCACCAGAAATCACACAAACAAAGTTCTTGTTCAGTGATACAGATACGCACAGATTATGTGATCAATAACATACCAGCAGTGTCATCCACCCAACAATCACGTAAACCAGCAGTAGAGGACCCTCAGTCCAGTTTGGAACATGTTTGCGTTAAAAATAGTGTGAACGTTTATGAAGCTTTCACACTATTGTGATCCATTTTTCTTCCGTTAGTATTTCGATGCAATTCTTGTCCCGCAGTTGAAGTTATTTCAACAAATCATAAATCAAAACGTTCAGCTCTCTCAGGACAATCCTGCTATGACTTTTGGTAGTGGTGCAATTTAAGCTTTTTGAAATATTTAGCCTTTTCTGCCACATTTCCTCATAGAAAATGAATTGAACTCATTTTACATCCTTCAGATCTGTTTACAACCTTTTACTGCTCCTTTCACATTTTGCTCTGGTTTAGCTTCTTTCAGCTTCCTTGTGCAAATAAAAAAACAGCCAATTTCAAATCCTTTCAGCTAACTACAACATTTGTGCTTCTTCTTCACTTCTTTCTGCTAATTTCAGCTTGTTATGCTTCGTTCAGCTTATTTCTGCAAGTTCCAGCTTTTTCTACTATTTCAGCTACAGTAGCTGTTTTGTGCTAATTTAAGCTTTTTCAACTAATTCCACATTTTTTGCACTCATTTCAACATTTTTCAGCCTAATTAAACAAAAACGTGCTCTCTCCATTTCCTTCTGGTAATTTGAGCTTCTGCATTTTTAGCAACTTTTCAGCAGTTTCTTTTTTTTGCTAATTTCAGCTATTTGCAGATAATTTCCACTTTCTGTGCTCATTTTTGCTTCTTTCAGCCTTAATGGGCAAACACTTTCTCCCGCTAATCTAAGCTTGTTCTACCTTTTCAGCTACTTTTTGTTTTAATTTTTAGCTAATTTCAGATGTTTTCAAATAAATTCACGTTTTTATGGTAATTTTTGCTACGTTCAGCCTAAGTAACCCATTTCTGCTAATTTCAGCTTGTTGTGCTCCTTTGAGCTTTTTTCTGCTAGCTTCAGTTTTTTTTTTTTTTTTTGCTCTTTCAACTCTTTTTGATGCCATTTTTAGCTTTTGCAGGTAATTCCACCATTTTTAGCTCATTTCAGCTCTTTCCACTTCCTTCTGGCAGTTTATGCTTTCTGCCCTTTCAGCTACTTTTCAGCCTTTTTTTTTTGTTGCCGTTGTTGCCAATTTCAGCTTTTTTTTTTTTTAGCTCATTTCCTAATTTTTGTGCTCATTTAAAGCTATTTCAGCAAATATGTGTCCATTCTGCTTTCTTCTGCTAAATTAGGCTTGTTCTTCCATTTCATCTACATTTAACAAGGTTTTTTTTTTTTTTTTTTTGCTAATTTCAGCAGTTTTTCAACATTCATTTTTTTTTTTTTTTTCATTTAGCCGTTATTTATCCAGGTTAGTCTCATTGAGCCACGAGAACTCATTTTCAAGAGAGACCTGTTTTTTAGGGAGCACATGGTGGGGTTAAGGACCTTGCTCATGGGCCCAGAGTGGGGCGAATGAGGGTGGGGGCAAGTGTGGGTGTTTCATCTACCCCACCCACAATTTTTGATGTTGTCGGGGCCGGGGCGTGAACCGGCGATCTTCGGATCACAAGCCCACCTCTCTAACCTCTGCGCCATTCTTCTGCAATAAGCATTCAAACTGCATTTTCGCAGGAAATGCAATTTCTCTAGTTAGCTATTATTTTGTTCCATGTGGACAGCATGTCTGACTCACAACCCAGGTGCTGGCAGTGAGTTATAAAGCGATAAGCTAAAACTGGGGTTTCCCTCTGATTCGAGTCCTTTCAGACTTAGGAAATAAGAAGCAACTGTTACTGACATTTTTAGTTTTTGTTGTGCCAACAAAGTGGGTGTTTAAGTTTCAGGGTAAAATTAAAGCCGTAATAATCGCTGTCTGAGACAAAACTCCAAACTAGGGGTGCACTGACGACTGCAGTTTTCTGGCTGATCACGGATCTCTAAAAAGTCTGACCTGCCGATACCGATTTTGTGTTATAAGCGACACCGTCAGGTGTTATAAGGTCACAATGCACCTTCAATTTTGCAATCTTATTTTATTGAAAAACATACCCATGAACAATATCCTAGAAACAATACAAACTTGTTTTAACTGACCATGAGGTAGTGCTCTGAAATATAAATGAAGTTTAGACAATTGCTGTTAAAACTACAAAAAAGAAGGTAAAATCAGTTTCTCGTGTATCGGCCAATCTCCGATTTCCCAAAATTAAGGAAATCGGGACCGATAAATCTGTGCACCCCTACTCCAAATCTAACAAAAAGTTTAAAACTTGCATAAACAGACTATATAGTTTATTCCCACTATATACTTTGTTTTTGTTTTAGTCAAAATTGTGTAACTCTGAAAAGTACAAATATTGATGTTTCCCTATTTAGGCAGAATAACCGTGGTATTTTGACCTTGTGTATAAATATGTAAATTAGGCCTGTTGCGATAAATTATAAATCAATTAATCGCATGATGAATGAAAATGATCAAGCTCATTTTCATTTATCAACTTTAACATTTCTTCGTGTCTCTCTTTCAACTGAAGACACTGGATGACAAAAGGCTCAACTCCGGTGCTCTTCACTGACCCCTCCCTTTCTCTTTTCACTTTAAAATCTGTTTTAAACGTCCAAAATTGCGTTTTTGGATCGTTAAAAGCAGCTAAGCTACGAGCTAAGCTAACAGGCCGACCTCGGGAATAAACCTCCGTCTCGTTGAGCTCCAAAATTCACGGTTGAAACCCGTGCCTTCGTGTAAAAAGTTGTTTTTCTCTGCAAAAAGAAGCCGAGAACTCGTTTACTGATTTTTATTAAAAGCTTTGTGTGAAAAATGTTATGCTAAAGAGCTCAAATCACCGAGTGTACCCATGTCACCATGTCACGTCAAGGGCCCTCCCTCTCATTTTTCTTAAAGAGACAAGCTGCTCAACTATCCATGTTTGAATCAAACAGTTTTATACTGCCATCAGGTGGTCAAAAAAGGTACTAAATGCAAAACAATTCAACATTTCTTCTAAAATTTGACAATTACTTAATAAATTTCAAACAATATTATCGTTTATCGCAATAATTTCTGAGACAATTAATCGCCCAGCAAAATTTGTTATCGTGACAGGCCTAATGTAAATGTGTTGCATTACCTGCACAAATAATGGAATTGTTTACAATGCGTTACAAAACTACATATTAATCAAAATAAATAGGTACATAATTATAAGCAATAGAGACTTTTGATGATACTTTCAGTTATTTAAAAAAGAAAACAGGTGTAGGGCAACGTGTGGGTCAGAGGAGCACTTGTTTTGCCTTCTTGGAGCTAAGCTCACATTTTCACACCAGCTTGTTAATTTAATGACGAGCAGACGAAAATAAAAAATTGCTTCAGAGAGCTGCAGACGCAGTGTCATCTGTGTGATGGATTTAAAACACAAAAAGGAAATCTGCATGTTTTCTCACCCTCCAGATGCTTCACGATGCCCCGCAGGCTGTTTCCATGAGCAGCGATCAGGACTCTCTTTCCCTCCTTGATCTGAGGAACAATCTCTTCGTTCCAGAAAGGAAGAGCCCTGGCAATGGTGTCCTTAAGGCTTTCACAGCTGGGGAGCTGGTCCTCGGTCAGATCAGCGTAACGCCGGTCCTATCACGAAACAAATAGGTTGGTAATGTCAGCAACATTTTAACCACCAGGGCTAACTCTTGTACATGTAAGTCAGTTTTCTTCGGCCGTCACCTTGCTTATCTTTTGATAAAAGGGATGCTCCTCATCCATGGGTGGTGGAGGAATATCAAAGGAGCGCCTCCAGATCTTGACTTGAGCTTCTCCGTGTTTGGCAGCTGTTTCAGCTTTGTTCAGCCCCGTCAGGCCACCGTAGTGGCGCTCGTTCAGCCGCCACGTCCGGTGGACGGGCAGCCACATCTGGTCGATGCTGTCCAGAACAAACCACAGGGTGCGGATGGCTCGCTTAAGGACTGAGGTGTAGCAAAGATCAAACTCGTAGCCAGCGTCTGAGTCAAAACAGAAACGGTACAAGGGACGGGGTAAAAGGCTGTGTCACATTTTGCTGTGGTTGGAACATCTGGGTGATATAGTTTTCCTCTTACTAAGATTTGTACAATCCTTTTGATTTAGTCTTCAGCCACGTGGCTCTGGCAAACTATGATCTTTGCAAAATGCTGGAAATTTTTTGTCACATAAATTAGCAAGAGGTGTGTGCGTTTGCGTGTCCACCCCAATTACAACGTTCAGAAAACCCACGGGGGAGATTTAACCGAGAAACGACAGTCAAAGCTCGTCTGTGGCCCAATACCTTCTCTTTAAATGAATAGATTTCTATTACAGTGTAAATACTGATGTACGTCATAGACTGAAATGTAAATACTAAAGATATTTTAAAACAACACCAGAATGAAGTCCTCCTTAAAGTCTGCGTCATTAAGTTCCTTCAAATGTACTGGTTTTCAACCAGTGGTAGAGAGGTCAGCCTGCAATCAGAGGGCTGGGGGTTTGATCCCCAGAACCTGTAACTTGCCAACATGTATAATATCTCGTTAGGTATGTCACAATAACAAATTTTGCTGAGCGATTAATTGTCTCCGAAATTATTGCGATAAACGATATAGTTTGAAATTTGACAGTAATTAGTAATTATTGTCAAATTTAATGACGTTTCTTCATTTGTTTTGCATGTAGTACTTTTTGTTGACCACTGGGTGGCAGTATAAGGCTGTTCGAACCAAAGGATGGATAGTAAGGGAGCGAGCAGCGTGTCTCTAAGAAAAATAGCCTCTTGATGTGACTTGGACTGTCTCTCTTTGGTTCTCAAAATGGCAGACACTTGGTGTGGTTTGAGCCTTTTAGCATAGCATTTTTCACACTAAGCTTTTAATAAAAATCAGTACAAAAGTTCTCAGCTTCTTTTTGTAGAGGAAAACAACTTTCTACACAAAGGCACAAGTTTCAACTGTGAATCTTGGAGCTTTGACAAGACGGAGGTCCCCCCCCCCACCCGAGATCGGCCTGTTAGCTTAGCTGCTTTTAACTATCCAAAAACGGTATTTTGGATGGTAAAAATGATTTTAAAGAGAAAGGGAGGAGTCAGTGAAGAGCACCAGAGTTGAGCCTTTTGTCATCCAGTGTCTTCAGTAGAAAGAGAGACACACGAAGAAACAATTAAGCCGATAAATGAAAATGAGGTCAATAATTTTAATTTATCATGCGATTAATTGATTTATCGCGACAGGCCTATATGTAGTATGAGTGAGTAGGCCTGTCACAATAAACAACAAATCAGTTAATCGCATGATGAATGAAAATTATCAACCTCATTTTCATTTATCGGCTTTATCGTTTCTTCGTGTCTCTCTCTTTCTGCTGAAAACACGACTCAACGCCGGTGCTCTTCACTGACCCCTCCCTTTCTCTTTAAAATCTGTTTTAACCATCCAAAATCGTGTTTTTAGATCATGAAAAGCAGCTAAGCTGAGAAGATAAACTACGAGCCAAGCTAACAGGCCGACCTCGGGAAAAAAAACCCTGTTTTGACAAAGCTCCAAAACGCCTCCCTCACATTAAACACACTGCTCGCTCCCTCGCTATCCATCTTTCGGTTCAAACAGTCTTATACTGGCATCTGGTGGTCGAAAAAAGGTACTACATGCAAAACAAAGTAAGAGAAAACATTTCTTCTTAAATTTGACAATTACTAATTACTGTCAAATTTCAAACAATATCGTTTATCGCAATAATCTCAATTAATCGCTCGGTAAAATTTGTTATCGTGACAGGCCTATGAGTGAGAACAAAAAAAGTGCTATGGAAAGTGTAAAATATACAATAGAAACATTAAGTGTTTGTGTTTTAATTGATTAAATTTAAACTCTCAAAATCAATTATGGCCATCTGAGAATTTCAGTTTTTGTCTGTTGGGTTCATTTTGATAAGAGTGTAAACCTTTAATTTGCAAAAGAATGTGACTTCTTGTAAACTATAAACAATATTTTGCCAATAGTGATGTAATCTAAAAGCTTTGAACAGAGAAAACATTCGGAATAGCTGAAGCACTTTGCTGCATTCCCACTTCGTTTATTTGAAAAAGCAACCGACTGTCTTGATATTTTACAGCTTCAATGAATGACTGAAACTAGTTAGTGGGTTTCCCCCGGTACCGTAATGAGCAGTCAAAGCCGCCCACAGTTTCCCCTCCATCATCAGACCGCAGTCACCGCGTGCTTCAAAATGTTGCGCTGCTACACGGTTCAAGCGTGCTCACGGTGCATTCAAGTACGACTCGTAAAATCCAATATCAATACAAAAAAAAAAAAAAAAACGCTGAGGATTCAGTGTGCAAGACCCACTTTGATTCATTATTAATTTTTAAAAACAACACGTTAATTTTGCGACATTTATGGAAATATTAAACTCTGACCAAGACAATTCGTGGCCGCAGGATCATCTGCTGCTTTCATAAGCGCCATGACGTTTCAATTCAACAGCTTACGTCCGATAAGGCCCGCTGACGTTCACTGCCAGCTAACGTACCTTTCAGGGCCTGTCCTCCCCTCTTTGCCTCGTGTTCTCCGGTCTCACTCAGGTCCGCGTCGAACCACCCGCAGAAGCGGTTCTCCTGGTTCCAGCAGCTTTCTCCGTGGCGGATCAGAACGAGCTTGTAGGCAGCCATCCTCACACCGATGCCCTCTAAAAATGTACTTCCGGTAACTCTAATGTAGCGGGTTCCTTCAAAACGGCTCTCGAGTTAGTTTCGAGAACGTAACGAATCTTAAGTAGACAATGCAAGAATTTGAAGCGATGGAGAGTCAAGACTGCTGCTTGAGTTGTGTGACGAAAAAAGTTCGCTTCCTCACTTCCTGGTGGTTTCCACCAATCAGAAGCCGAGTTGAAGAAGAGAGGCTGGAGGATGCGCGCGGCGGCACGTCCGCAGATCGACTGCGTGGGCCAGCGTTGCCAGGCGTACAATAATAATCGTTTTTTAACGATAATTTGTCATCTGTATGATCAATAATTGTAAAAATCCCACAATGTACGATAATTTGACCGCCTCGGCACTGTCTCCAGCTGCAATCATAGCAGGATATCCCCCCACCCAGAAAATACAGCTGTAGTTATAAACATATTTACAACAGAACACTGTTTTTTATCTGTTTTGCATTTACGTTTTAGGACAAATAACCTGTTAGGTAGCTGGTGTTGCTTTAATCCATGATGATTCGAAAGAAGCCTGTAGAAAACAGTTTATTTCCTCCAAAGTTTATTTCTAAATGAACAAAAGTCAAAACAAAAGAACAAAACAATGTTAGCCAGGAGTAGTGCACATATAAACATAAAATTTAAATAAACATCAGTCTGTCTGATCAGAGCAGGTGATTCTGCACTCCACACCAGAGGAGGCGCTGTTCTCTCTTTTCAACTGTTTTAATACAAATTGTCAAGATAAAAACACATTATAGGCTTTTCACTGTTTATAATAATGTGGTATAGAAGGAGATAATGTTGAGATACTTCAAAGTGAAAACTGGGTGTGTGCGATAATTTTCTCAAAACACAACCATTTTAAGCTGCCGGTGGCTCGGTAAAATATTTCTGCATTTTCCATCTGGCAACAGTGGATACAACTAAGTATATTTAAATACTACTGTGATTTTGTACCCATATTTTATATTTCTGAGAATGTTGGAATGCACATCAAATGATTATCTTTCGGAGGTACCCTTCACTTAAGATGGCTGCCACAGCTAGCTTCATTAACCAACTAAAAATGGCTTTAACTCAGTCAGCGATGCATCTATTGAGCTAAAGTTTGGTGTGGTAGTAGCCAGTGGCAATTCTAGGATCTGACCTTTGGGGCTGCGCTTAGCCCCCAATACTGAATGGCTCTCGGCTTGAACAACGCAGCCTATGGTGTGGCTATTGAGAAGCGTAAAAGCTTACAGCACCTGGTATTCCAAGGCGGTCTCCCATCCAAGTACCCAGGCGTGACCCTGCTTAGCTTCCAAGATCAGATGAGACTGGGCGTGTTCAGGGTGGTATGGCCATAAACAAGAAGCTTAGTGACAATAATAACTTTTAAAGGATCATAGCAAACAAAGACTAAGCTTATGCAACCAGAAGTTGCAATATAGCTACATACAAAACACACAAAACAAAGCACAACTAGCTTTAAGCATTAACCTTTAATTTAACCATTAACCTCTGACTGCAAAATGTTAATGCAAAACCCAGCAATGCTGTTGGAGGAAAAGGGGGTGGAGCTCCTGCAGGTAAGGGGCGTTTACCTTCTAGACAAATTGATTTTTCAAATTATTTTTTTAGGGGTGCTGAGATCAAATTTAGGGGATGCTTGAGCACCCCCTAAAAGTGGCTACAATCGCCACTGGTCATATGCTGAGAGTCATTCACAACTTATACTCTGAGCACTAACTGATCACATGAGACCTGTTGCCAGTTAACTATGGGGGTAAACTCTTCTAGCAAAACATCTCATAAACCACTGGATAGATTTTAATGAAACTTCCATAAAGTAATCATTGAATGTACAATGACCATATTCATGATGACCACTATGGCCAAGTGACATTGGCAAACTTGAAAACAGTGTTAGCTCAGCCAGTCTTCTAGGTATTTAGGTACAATTTGTTGTGACAATAGCTGAACATGATCCTCAACACACACTCCAACTGTGGAGGACAACCTGGACATGTGGCCAAGGGCCGTTTGGCCTTCTTTATCTTGTCTATTGGATATTTATTAATTATTTCTTAGTTATTTTTACCTATATATTTATTTATCTGGAGCATGTGAACAGGGTAGCATCTTTAATTTGTTGTATTGTTTTCAGCAGTGTAATCAATAAAAGGCACCTTGATAAAGAAAAAGTGTGTAATGATCAAAGTCACTGTCAAACACAGTTAAATTAAAATAAGCTTTTCAATATGTACCACAGCGATTTTTATTGGCTGATCAAGTGTTGACTTGTTCTCAAACAAACTAGATTAATGTTATTCAACTGGTGGCCCAGTGGGCCACATCTTGCCCACAGTGAGCTCAGTTTGGTCTACCAATCAGTCAATTTAAAATTAAACTAGATTTTATATATATATTTTTTTAATGTATGAAAGAAACATGTCAAAAATCTGATATGATAAATATTTCAGTCAAATAGGTGATCCTGCTTGGGGGGGTGTGTATTTTTATGAAAATGTATCATTACATCATTGATTATTACATCACAGATTATTCCCAGCAGCCAAATAACCAACTAAAGGTTAACTCTTAATGTTTTCAATTGATTGACCAAATACTTAAGTCAGCTACATTAATCCTATAAAACATATTATTAATTCATGATGTATTAAAATGTAAGTACATTTTTTCAGTTTATTTGTGTCAGCTGCTCACCAAACTGTTTGATATCTTAACTTTCAAACTTCTTATTGTGTTTTATAGATTAATTTGATTTTAGGATTAAATGGTCTATTGTTATTTTGAATTTTCTGATTCTTTTAATGGGGCAGCATGGTGGCGCAATTGGTAGAGCTGCTGCCCCTCAGCAGCAGGCCCCTGGCTCAAACCCTGGTCCAGGGGCCCCTCTGGGTGGAGTTTGCATGTTCTCTCCATGCATGCGTGGGTTTTCTCAGTGTACTCCGGTTTCCTCCCACAGACCAAAAACATGCATGTTAGTCTGATTGGTAACTCTAAATTGTCCCTAGGTGTGAGTGAGAGAGTGAATGGTTGTTTGTCTTGTTTGTCTCTATATGTGGACAATATGTGGCCCTGTGATGGACCTGCGACCTGTCCAGGGTGCACCCCGCCCCCCGCACAGTGATCGCTGGACATGGGCACCCGTGACCCAAAATGGAAGAAGCGGGTAAAGATAATGGATGGATGGATTATTTTAATGAATGCCTTTCAATAATGTGAGACTAAAATAGATTTTAAGATTATAAAGACTGGCAACATTTTTTAAATAATCTATTTACTCTTCTGGCTTTTGCGAGAAACTAAAAAAACTCTTAGTTTTATAATGTACTGTACAAGTCAAGAAAAATTGAACCAAAAGCCTTTTTGTAAAGTTAATTGAGTTAAGGTCTCACATGTTCTCTGTGTATGAAATAACCGTGTCCAATCAGCGTAGGAGATTAGGGTTCCCGGAAAAAGAATCTGCACGCTGATTGGTTACTGAGCAACAACAGGTCCCGCCTCTTCCCGGAAGCTGACGGTCATCTGATTTTCTCTCTTTTTTTTTTTTCCGCTATGTTTTCCTGTTAGCGAGCGCTACATCAAAACAGCTGTTCGAGCTTTGTTGTTTCTTCTTTTCGACTTCTTTATTCATCCTTAAACCACGATATAAAGGTTAAAATAACCACACGGCTACCTCTAAAGTATGGACGAGACGAGTCCGCTTGTCTCTCCGCTGCGGGACTCTGGTGACTTTAGCTACTGCCCCGTGGAGCCCGCCAGCCCCCGCGGCGCCTTCGGAAGCACACCGGGCTCCGTGGTGCGTGTCCCGGCCAGCAGTCCGGACCGCAGCCGGGAGAGACAGCCGCTCCTGGATCGGGACCGAGGGCACACGTCTCGGGAGCCGCACCGGAACGAATTCCCAGAAGATCCCGAGTTCAGAGAGATCATCCGTAAGGCCGAACGAGCCATAGAGGAGGGGATCTACCCGGAAAGGATCTACCAGGGCTCCAGTGGAAGCTATTTTGTGAAAGACTCACAGGGGGTAAGAGGAGCTGCTCCTACAGCCTCCAACTGTTCTCACATCTGTGAATTTCTTGATTTTGCTGCAATCCTGACAAAACGAAACTGTTTAGGTGAAGTGCTAGCTGCTTGGAGGAAAGGCCTCTTTCATTGCCTTGGCAGAGATAAACTTAACATTTACAACTACTTGGCCCTAAATAAACATCTAAGCAATCAATTTAGCAATCAGTCCACTGAAACATTCAACAAGATAAATGAAAAACTGTCCCACATGTTCACTGGAAGCTGCAGTTCCAAACAATAAGGACCAATTCAAAGAGTTAGGATCTCTACAAATCTCTCGTTCATATATTAACTGTTTATTTCTGAAATAGCTGTTTTCAAGCTTGTATGTTAATGGTGCCTTTCCAGATGCGCAATAATGCACCCCCATACCATCAGAGAGGTAGATATTTGCAACTATGCACTGATAATAATAAATAAATAAAAACTTTATCTATGCTGTTAACAAGAAGCCTCGTTGATAGCCCCATTTTAACCCTTTTTCCATTAATTGAAATAAATTATAGACAAAACTGTTTGGCTCATACGGAATAATTCCTTAAATAAGCAAACATTAAAACTAAACAAAAACAACATTTTGTTGTGTTTGTTTGATGCAATGATTAATCATTTAAAGCTTTTTAAAGTGCTGTTGTCTAAGAATATAGGCAGGTGCTCATCATTTCTGATCCATTTGCCGAGGAGGAGAGCGTAGCATTGATCTCATCCATCTCCTTAACGTAAACATCAGCACTCGATCAGCGAGAATGTTCCTTTTTACCTTTCACTGTCAAGTAAAGTAGACGCTCTGGGTTTTTTCTGTTACAGTGTGTTCAGCTGAACAGAAGATGTTGAGCACACATTTTATTTGCTGCTGTAATAGTTTGACAAATTGGTGCGCGATGTCTCGGACAAATCAAGGAATCAACAGGGTGCGTTCCAGCTAGAACAGGGGTCTGCTACCTTTACAATCAAAAGAGTCATTTTTACGCCTTCGTTAACTAAATTACAAGTGTTCAGAGCCGCAACGACATGCTACAACTGTGATTATCAACTGGTGGTCTGTGGGCCACTTTAGGTTTGTTGGAGGAGAGTTTTGTGGGTGACATTATAAAGCTTAATGATTTTTAACATTTATTGATATTTTTACAATTCAAGACAAATTAAAAGACCAGATTATTATATGTGTTTGTGGAAAATTAATAAAAACTATGAACTATGCAGACCCATGTATTTGTTTTAATTGTGGAAAAATTAAATAAGTATAGAAATCAAGCATAAAGTTTAAGTGAGTACTGTATTTTTCAGACTTTAAGGCGCACTTAAAATCCTTTAATTTTCTCAACCGATAGTGAGCCTTATAATCTAGTGCGCCTTATGTATTCTGCTCATACTTACTGACCTTGAACCGATTTTACAAGGTGCTCAAAAATCTGTCAAAATGAACTTATTTCGCTTAATGCGCCTTATAGTCCGAAAAAGACGGTATGTTTTACTCCTTGTACTTGTTCCACTAGTCATATTTTTGCCAAATAAATTAGCTAAAACTAGTCCTTTTTTGTTGTTTGTGTAACAACTAATAAAATTCTGTTTTATGTTAGTTTTGGTCAACGCTTGAAAGAGCCGCTGCGGAGGAACCAAAGAGCCGCATGTGGCTCCAGAGCCGTAGGTTGCTGATCCCTGTGCTAGAATAATGACCATAAACCTTGATAAACGTCACCGGATCAAACTAAGAAGAGCCTTGAGTCGTTCACATATTGCGTCCTCTCAGTACTTTCACATCAACTGCGTCTGAAGTTGTGTAAAAAAAAAAAAAAGGAAGTGTTTTTGTGGACTTTGGCTTTGGATCGTTACAGTTTTCAGTTACTCTTTCTGCCTGGTTTTCAGAAGAAAGCCAAGTTTTTTTTTTTAATGCTAACCTAATTAAAAAAACAAGATATCTTTTTTTCAAAACCTGCTCTCTTCATCTCCCACTTCTCCACATTTATTAAGTTAGTCACCACCGTGTTAAGCGGTCATGTGCTGCCTCTCTGCGAGGACGTAATTCTCTTCTGACCATGTTTTATGTCGTAATTGGTGCCAGTGTTTGTGAGTGATTCCAGTGTAATGTGACATGTGATTTCTATACGGATATTGCGCCACACACCACAAATTTTCTCATCATTTCATTGTCATTTTCTTATCAAACTCTTTGAGTTTAACTTGAGCTAGATAACAGCATACACCATCAGTCCTCTAAGTTGGAGTGGTTTTAACTGTTTAATGTGTAAATAAAACTGAACTTTTTGCCTATTTACATTTTTATCATTCATTTCAGTAGTATTTTCCAGTTTTAAAACAAGATATTTTCATTGAATTGAAACATGATTATCGTAATGTTCGCTGTATAAGTTGCAGTTTTTTGCATAAATTAGCATAACTGCGACTTATACAGCAAAGTGACTTGTGTATTTTTTTTCCCATATTTATAACCAATTTTTGGCTGAGATCTGGCAATTTCATTCATTCTGACATGGAAAATATTGAACACTACCATTTTCAGCCACTAGAGGGCCTTCGACTAATATGGCTAGCCAAGTGTCTCATTAATAGGTAAAAGTGGCTATTAATGACTGGCTTTAGGTGAGCCGATTTGCCCTGTTGGCATGTATGCAGCTGGATATCTAATCGACTGGAAGACTTGATGATCTGTCTATCTCTGCTGCCATCTGTGGATTTTAAGGACGCATATTTAATTGGATTTACGATAACTGGTTCCTGCTTTTTGGATTCGGCTGGTTGCTGGTTTTATCAACAATCAAGGAAGTCGTCGGCAGCAAATTTGGACCCGAACACGCTGCTTGCCTTTATGATGGCTTGGTCCGTGTCTCGAGTATCCAGACTCAAATGCTTTGGGCTGAATGGATCAGATCTTGGGGATTTTACTCAGTCACGTTCCATCAGTGTGGCCATGTATTTTGGACATTTCGGAACCGAGTCGACCAACACAGACTCAAGGTAGATGTCATTAAGTTCTGCTTGTCCCCAAAACAACTGTGTGTTTATCTGAATTTGGTTCCCTTGGCTGACCTTGAAGGCCATCTTATATGAATTCGCCTGGAGAACATGTGATCTGACGCTCACCACCCTCTCCCTGAGGAATTTCCAACTGATAACCAAATGGAACCAGCTGAATAAACTTTGTGTCATCATTTCAGGACTCTTGGATTCTCATAGACGTTATTCTTGGCCATTCCTCGACATCCCTCGAGAATGTTTATGGATCTGACCGGAGGACATTGACTGATTATTCCATCCTTATCAGAACTCTTACAGTGACCTCGAGAACATCTATGAACATGCTGACCACTCTCGTCTCCTCCGTCTGCAGAACGTCTACGTCACTATGTGCTTGTTTGTGCGAGGTGTTTTTTTAATATGAGTTTTTTTTCCTCAGGCAGGAAAAAAAAAGTCTGATAGGAATTTTTTTTCACCTCCAACTCCTACATGTGTCCAGTTAACCACTGTTTTTGTCTGTCCAAACAGGTCTTACTTGTAAATGAGTCTTTGAGGCTCAGTGTGATTTATTTGTTTAAATAAAGGTTGAATGAATGAATGAACTTGGCTTGCCATACAAAGCCATGTTCATCTCGCTCCAGAACTCCTGGAGCAAACGTCAAATCAACTGCATTTCGCCGCACCGCCCAGGCAAAATTCAGCTGATTTAACCGTCAAAGTGCATTAATTAAGGAAAAGTTCAACTGAGACACGTCTTTACTATAATGTTGATCAAACAAATAATTGTTTTTAGGTTGTTATCTTGTAAAATTTTGAAGAAATGCACAGCAAGCCATCCCCTCTGTTCGCTCCTGCTTCCATTTATTGGCTTTTGAAAGGCAGCTGATTTGACCGTCAAAGTGCATTTATTAAGGGTTAGTTAGACTGAGACACACCTTTGCTATAATTTTGAGCAAACAAATAATTGTTTTTAAGTAAGGGTGCACTGATTGCAGTTTACTGGCCGATCACCGATTTCTAAAAAGTCTGACCTGCCGATTTCGATTTTGTTTTATAAGCAACACTGTCAAGGTCACAATGCACCTTCAATTTTCCAATATTTTATTGAAAAACATACCCTTGAACAATATCCTAGAAACAATACTAACTTGTTTTAACTGGCCATGAGGGTAGTGCTCTGAAATATAAATCACGTTCAGACAATTGTTGTTAAAACTAAAAAAAAATTGGTAAAATCGGTTTCTCATGCAAGTATTGGCCGATTTCTGATTTCCCCAAGTTAAGGAAAAAGAGGCCGATTTATCAGTGCACCCCTATTTTTAAGTGTTAATCTTGTTAAAGTCCTCCCATGCACGCTCCCGTGGCTGCCATTTGGCAGCCAGTCGATTTTTGGCACACCGGTCCACAATTCTGGGTTGTCAGCGGTGACGCGTAACAAACACGACGCGTCAGCGGTGACGCATAATAGATGTGACGTATATGGCGAAGCAACGTATTTGTTTTTTTTCCACTTTATTAGACATATTTGGACTGATGTGACTTATACGTGGTGCAACGTGTACGGCGGCAAGTGTGGTAATCTCATACACAGTAAAGGGTTTCCCTCTGTGAAATGGTCCTTTATCTTATAGAGATAATTATTATCTTATTAATAATTATTTTCTTACTTATTGAGCATGAGTCCTTGATCCTCATTTTTCTGTTTATTGTGCCTTCACAGAAAATCATCGGGGTGTTTAAGCCCAAAAATGAAGAACCTTACGGCCATCTGAATCCCAAATGGACTAAGTGGCTCCAGAAACTGTGCTGTCCCTGCTGTTTCGGGCGCGACTGTTTGGTTCTAAACCAAGGTTACCTGTCAGAGGCCGGGGCCAGCCTGGTCAGTCAGAAACTGGAGCTCGATATTGTTCCCAGGACCAAGGTATTGACTCTACGTTGTAGAAGAACTTGTCCATGTCAGCTCAACAAGTCTTTTTCAATATGTCTTCATGCTATCATTCTGCATTTATTTTCTCTGATATAGAGACGTTTGTATTGTAAAGAAACTCCAAATATTAGAGCCATAGTTGTTGTTTTTTGTTTAGAATTCCTTAAATAAAAAAAGCAGATTTACCTAATTTAGGTCCAGGATTTAAGGTAAAACATAATACACTTCTCCGTGTTAGTTTCTTGGGTCTTCTGTGAGCTTCGGCTACAAGGTTTAACCAATCCTTTGGAAACTTTTCAACAAAAATTTAGTCAAAACAAATCAAGTCTCAAGTTTTATTTAAATTAGACAAAAATGAGATGGCACTTATACCGACCTTTAAACCTGTTGTAGTCCTGAATTCAAACGTTTCATAATTTATCTCAACTTATCTAACAAAGTTCAGTCAGGTCACCTGGACGGTTTCTTTTTTGCTGAGACGTTTCCTCCTTCATCCAAAGGACTTCATTAGTCCAAGGAGCTGCAACAAACTTGGTTTCACAAGCAGCTCACTCACATAGTGAACCAACCAGTTTGTTGGTGATAAGATGGTTTCTGGGGCCTGACCTCTTCCTCATCGACTCCTCTGAGGCAGCCATAGCCAAAGTGGTTCAAAACATCAAAGTTCATGCTCAATAATCCAGGTGAAACATCCAACAAAGTTCAGTCTTGCCCTCTGGATGGTTTCTTTTTTTGTTTTGAGGCCATAGTTGCCTCAGAGGAGTCGACAGGGGAGAGGGAGGGCCCCAGAAACCATCTTATCACCAGCAAACTGGTTGGTCCACTATGTGAGTGTGCTGCTTGTGGAACAGAGCTTGTTGCAGCTCCTTGGACTGATGAAGTCCTTTGGATGAAGGACGAAACATCTCAACAAAAAGAAGCAACCGTCCAGATGACCTGACTGAACTTTGTTGGATTTTTTTACCTGGATTATTGAGCATGAACTTTGATGTTATCTCAACTTAATTTATTCAGTAATAAATACATTCCAAAGACAGTTGGCATGGTCAGGCTTTTGAAAATACCTAATGTTCGTTCTCACAACTCAATGTTTTGGTACTGATGATGCAAAGTGATGAAAATTTTAGGCGTTCCTTTGTCTCATTCTTCCTACAAACCCATCTGAAAGTGTGTCACAGTATAGAGTTTTCATTGTTGCATTTTTTTAATATCAAAACTTCTCAGAAATTCTCTATTCGGAGAAGCCGCACCACCATTTATTTAGCTCCCCTCTTAGCACACCCTGATTTGATATTTTGTTTTTGAATATGTGAGTCGAATATTATTTATGCAGAAGTAAAATAACTTAAAACCTCAAAGATGCTCTCATAAATCTTTAAATAAAACTGTAAATATGATTAGTTTTATGTAAAACTGTCTGTAAGATTTTGGATAATTTCCACATTTTTATCATTTGTCTTTAACAAATCCAAGATTTCAGATTAAAACCTTACAACAGAGCTGACACGCAATATTCAAAAGCATCGAGCTGTCGTTTTCTGAGACAACTTTTCCGTTTCAGGTGGTGTACTTGGCAAGCGAAACGTTCAACTACAACGCTATAGACAGGGTGAAGTCCCGAGGAAAGAAGCTAGCTCTGGAGAAGGTGCCTAAAGTGGGCCAACGGTTCCACAGAATCGGACTGCCGCCTAAGGTGAAGTAAAACAAAATGTTTCTGCACCGATCACTTCAACTTCAGTCAATATCTGTCATCTAGTGTCTGTACAGTTCAATAATAAATGTAAAAATCCTCTTTAAACATTCAAAAACAAAGAAATGATGCACTTTATCACAATTTCATTAAATATCGTGTTGTGCAAATTTTCATTGGGTAAGTTTTTAATTTCACAGTGTTTACATGCAGTCCATCAGTACCAATGTTCTACGATAATGCCAAAAAATCTTAAGTTGAACAGGACTGTTCAACTGGTGGTCCGGGGGCCAAATCAGGTCCACAGATGAGCTCCGTTCGGTCCACCACTGGGTTCATTTTTAACTAAAACTAGATTTTAAACTGTAAAACAAACTACCAATCAGCCTAACATGCATGCTTTTAGTCTGTGGGAGGAAACTGGAGTACCCACAGTAAACCCACGCATGCACGGAGAGAATATTTAAACTCCAAACAGAATGGCCTCCTGTCCGGGATTCGATCCGGCGACCTCGCTGAGAGGCAGCAGCTCTACCAACTGAGCCACCGTGCTGCCTACAGTAACATCTCATGTAATAAAAGTTTAGCAAACTTTGTTTCTGCTTCTGTGCCTCCAGGTTGGCTCCTTCCAGCTCTTCGTTGACGGATACAAGGATGCAGATTTTTGGCTGCGGAAGTTTGAAGCGGAACCTCTGCCTGAAAACACCAATCGGCAACTCCAGCTGCAGTTCGAACGACTCGTAGTCCTCGATTACATCATCAGAAACACGGGTTGGTAAACTTCTCTACTAAAAAATAATCCTTAAATAATAAAGTCTTGATTTTATTTAGCAGTTGTTACACTGTTGAAGCTCCTGTCAGGGGTCACTGCTGAATAAAGGTTTGCCTTTTTGTAATCTAGACAGAGGAAATGACAACTGGTTGCTGAAGTACGACTGTCCCATGGATCCTGGCAATAGGGTGACACACACACACACTTCTGTGCAAAATTAGGCACTCTGTCATTTGTTTTAACCATTTTTAAAAATCCAACAAAGTTCAGTCAGGTCACCTGGACAGTTTCTTTTTTTCATCCGAAGGACTTCATCAGTCCGAGGAGCCACAACAAACTGAGTCCCACAAGCAGCACGCTCACGTAGTGGGCCAAACAGTTTGCTGGTGATAAGATGTTTTTTTGGGGGCACGCCCTCTCCCCCGTTGACTCCTCTGAGGCGGCCATAGACTACGTCTATGTGAGTGTGCTGCTTGTGAGACTGAGTTTGTTGTGGCTCCTCAGACTGATGAAGTCCTTTGGATGAAGGACAAAATGTCTCAGCAAAAAAAGAAACGGTCCCTATGACCTGACTGAACTTTGTTGGATTTTTTTTACATGGATGATCGAGCATGAACTTTGACATTTAAAAAAATATTTATAACGTGTTTAAATAATAACGAAGAAGAAAATAAACAATTTTATTAATGTTAGAGGATTTACGTCAATTAATTTTTCTGCATAATGTTTTGTAAATTTAAGAGACCACATTGGTAGATAAATGACACCATAATGCAAAGTTTATGATGGACCTTTACTTCTCTATAACTTGACCAACTGTAATGGGGGGTAAAATATTAATTGGGCAAAAAAATGATGTCTTTATTTGGGCAACACAAGAATCAGTGCAGATATTAATCTTTGAAAACTAAACACAAAACCCTCTTAACAAATGTCACTGCTGCCAGCTTCATGGCTCCTTGTAGGACACTTACCATATAAATGCATCTTTAAAAAATGCCGTTTATAACGAAATGTGTAATTTTGTAATAATAATTAATTTTCATGTCATTGGTTGCTGTATAGTTCAGCAGTCTTACCTTAAAACTTTAAATGTAAATAATGATTGACACTCTCAGTGTTAACTTTTCACAAGTATTTTTAATCATTTTGTAATTATTTAGAAATGTCTAGAGTAGCACTTTATTGATAATCATAGAATAGCTGTGTTGTGATATTAATATTTGGGCTGTGTATTGAATCATTTAGGAATCTTATGATTCTCAGTCATATTCAGGTTTTGTTTAATGTTTCTCCGTTGATATACGGGTTATTGAATCTCCCCTTTGATTCTGTTGTGTCAAACCTGTTGTGTGCATGCTCTTTGTTAAAGTATTCTGATTCTCTCCAGGACACAGACTGGATAGTAGTAAAGGATCCCATCATCAAGTTAGCAGCCATAGACAACGGCCTCGCCTTCCCTCTCAAACACCCCGACTCCTGGAGAGCTTGTAAGAACTTACACCATACGAACAGGATTCGATCTGCGGTCATACGAAGTGGATATCGTTAAAAAACGGTTTAATTTTCTGATCAACAGATCCCTTTTACTGGGCGTGGCTGCCCCAAGCCAAAGTTCCTTTCACAGAGGAACTCAGGGATTTAGTCCTTCCCAAACTTTCTGACCCAAACTTCATTAAAGACCTTGAAGAGGACCTCTACGAGCTATTTAAGGCAAGAAGGGCTTCATTTTATTCATTCAGCCTTTATTTATACAGATTAGTCTCACTGAGTCACGAGGACTCATTTACAAGGGAGACTTGTTTTAGACAAAACCACAGATGAGGTACACATAACAATAAAAAGCATATAAAATGAAAAGCAAATATAAGTAGTGATATAAAACAAAATAAACTGAAGCTACATTATGAAACAAGGTAAAATACTAAAAACAGGAACATGTCTGCGTTGGATTTTTGCATTGAACTTAACAATTGTTTAAAATCTCTTAGAGAGGTCAAGGTTGAGAGCTTCAGGTCTTGTTGCAAGGTGTTCCAGGTTACAGGAGCAGAGTAAGAGAAGACTTTTTAACGGAGTTCAGTCCACACTGAGGGGACGCTGCAGGTAGTGATGTCTTGAGAGCGCACGCTGTAGCTGCACTGACGACGTGACGTGGGAGATGAAGGCAGCTGACCAAAGAGTGATTTAAAGATAAAAATGTACCAGTGAGAGAGTCTGCAGGAAGTTAATAATGACCAGTTAACCTGTGCATACAGGGTTCAATGGTGGGTACGGTAGTTAGAACCAGTTACGAGTCTTAGTGCACCGTGATAGACAGTGTCCAACATCTGCAGGGTGCTTGCAGGAGCATTCATGTAAATAATGTCACTGTAGTCAATGGAGGGAAGGAAAGTGTCAGTTACAAGGTGTTTCCTACTATTCAGAGTTAGACAAGATCTATTTCTGAAAAAGAAACCCAGTTTTAATGTCAGTTTCTTTATCAAGTTTTTGACGAGGCTTAAAAGAGAGATGTGAATCAACCAAAATACCCAAGTATCCTGATGCATGCTCAATAATCCAGGTAGAAAAATCCAAAAAAGTTCAATCTGGTCCTCTGGACATTCAAAAAAA